AAAAGTATCGGTATCGGGCGAGTACTGGAAAAAGTGGTATCGGTGCATCCCTACTTTTTTTTCAAAGAGGTTTTTGCTGTCATACCCTTGACATTAAAAATATTAGTATTTCTGCTTAAAATTGCAGTTGATCTAGAACATAAATTTTTATCTACTTTTTTTTTTTTTTTAAATGATGCATTATTGATATTTAATTTTGTGGCTTGACAACTACTTTTTGTTGGTTTTAAAGGAATAGCTCATCAAAAATGAAAATTTTCTTCAAATGTTCTCAGACTCAGGTCATCCAAGATGTAGATGGGTTTGTTTCTTCATTGGAACAGATTTGTAGAAATATAGCATTACATCACTGGCTCACTAATGCATCCTCTGCAGTGAATGAGTGCCGTCAGAATGAGAGTCCAAATAGCTGATAAAAACAGCGATCCACAAGTAATCTACACAAATCCAGTGAAAGCTGTTGAAAGTGAAAAGCTGTGTGTTTAAAAGAAACAAATCTATCAAGGTGTTTTAACCTTAAACTGTTGCTTCCGACTGTAATATGAGTCCATAATCCATAATATTGCTTTCTTCAGTGAAAGTCATTTCATCTGAATCAGGAGAGAAATATGCACAGATCAAGCACAGTTTACAAGTGAAAACAGTCCTATTTGCTTCACAAAATGTCAATTAAACGACGAGTTGTGTGAAGTACTTGTGGATTATTGTGATGTTTTTATCAGCTGTTTGGACTCTCATTCTGATGGCACCCATTCACTGCAGAGCATCCATTGGTGAGCAAGTGATGTAATTCTAAATTTCTCCAAATCTGTTTTGATGAAGAAACAAACATCCACATCTTGGATGGCCTGAGAGGGGGTACATTTTCAGGAAATGTCAATTTCTGGATGAGCTATTCCTTTAAGCGCCATTAATATTTACTTCATTTTAAAACTATTTTCTCCAGTGTTCTAATTACTTCCTATGCTTACTTCCTCCGGCACACTATTATTACTTCAGCTCCCTTTTTGAAATCCAAACTGCCACCTTTGTGTTAGCAACCTGAATCTTTAACCAATCAGGTGGCGTTTCATTAGCCAACCTAAAACAACTCCATTCTGATGGATTACATTGAAGTCTCATGTTCTGTTGTTACCGATTTAGTGACTAAAAGTTAATTTTTAAGCCAGTAAGATGACTTTGAGCCGGTATGGTCATTAACGCAGCAGGAAGTTGAGTTGCTGTTAATGCCCACTTGCTGAGAGAGAGCAATTTCGATTGAGAAATGGATCGGGATTCAGAAACGCGGCATTGGTGTTGCTTACACTGATGCCACACTTTAAATGTTAATTGAGTTGATTTGTATTTTACTGATTGAATCTGTTTCATAAATTGCATACAACTTTGTTTTACAGCTGACCAGACAAAGAAAGTTCTTGCAAACACACACCTGACTGGATGATCAGCTTTGACATAATCATGATAATTCTGATGAACTAAGAAGAATGGAAATGAATTTAAGATTATGAAGTTAGGATCTTAGGAAAGCGTTTCTCATGTCTTCTGTATTGTAATGGAGTGTTTTCTGTGTTATTGTCTCTCTTGCAGTCTGCACCTGACTACCTTCTGCCTGCAGCACAAACCCACAGTGGTGGCATGTGTCTGTATTCACCTGGCCTGCAAGTGGTCCAATTGGGAGATTCCTGTCTCTTCAAATGGGAAACACTGGTGGGAATATGTAGACCGAGCTGTGACTCTGCAGCTGCTTGATGGTCAGTCAAACGCAACTTAACCTTTATACATTTTTTATTATATTATGGTTACCTAAAAACTGAAAAATCACTTAGATTAGAATCAATTAAAAATCTATTTAATTAACATTGTTTATAATTAAAGGTAAAATAGTTTTGATTTTAATTTATTTTGTAATTACTCATTTTATTTGTTTTAATAATTTGCTAGACAAATGTATCTTTCTCGAAGAGTTACATTTCAAATTTACATTTTTGTCAAGTAATTGCTGCACCTTGATTTTTATGTATTAATATTCTGTATATTTTGTATGTCCTCTGTTTCTGTAGACCTGACTCACGAGTTTCTCCAGATCTTGGAAAAAACACCAAGCAGATTAAAAAGAATCAGAAACTGGCGGGTATGTATAAATACTTTTGTTTGTATGGAAAAAATTACACCAAATTAAATATAAAATAATAATAGATTTTTGTGATAAACATTTTAATAGCAAGCAGTCAAGTAATGGACCAGTTTTAAAGTTTGTTTATTTTTGTTCTCATTTTAGGCCAATCAAGCTGCCAAGAAACCAAAACTCGACAACCAATCTTTAGACGGTTCCTTCCAGACAACTCTGAGCCAGGACAGTTCATTGATGGGGAGCATGTGTGACATCAGAGGGGACATGTATTCTGAACCATCCACCTCTTTCCCATTGGATGGGGCATCGATGTCACTCAACGGCCTGTCGGACCTGCAGAGTTCTGCTTTCAGCTTTCCTGCACCAATTTCCCAGAGCACAGACGTATTTCTCGCGCTCCAGGGGGCGCAGGCGAGCAAAAACGGACATGCCTCAGCAACTCTCGCCTCTCAGAAACTCACTCTAGAGAAATACCGTGAAAAACACGCGGCCGAATTAGAGCAAAGACGCAGACACGAAGAGGAGGAAAGCGACCAGCATCGAAAACACGGACATTTATCGTCCGAACCGTCTTCGTCAATCAGGGTAAAGTATTCCCAACAGCAGGTACAGGAACGATCGTTAAAGAGCGGGTCACTAAAACGGCGCCACCCTTCCTCATTGGAAAACGGTTCTGCTAGTCAAGAAGAGCTGAAAATGAAGATCAAGGTTTTGTCTGAAAGTAGCAGCAGCGGTAAGAGCCGTCATAGTCCTCGCTCGAGCCGTGAGAAACATCGTGAACATTCATCGCACAAAATGGCGAGACACGACTCGTCACACTCGCACAGTAGCCACCACCATTCATCCAAATCTCACCGATCTTCCAAGAGCCACTCCTCCTCTGCCTCCGTATCTATCAATCAACCTATAGGCCACGCCCAGTTGGCAAAGATTGACAGGAGGCTGGGGGAGGGGCAGAGTTCTGAGCCCAATGCTGCTTTAATAAATAACGGTCCACACATGGATTATGAAGACACTTTTAATATGCTTGATTCCCTATTAAATGCACACAACTTCTAAACTAGCGGAAAAACACGTTTTTACGTAAAACCTAAAAAAAAACGTACGATTTTTGTTCTTGAGCTAATTTTATGCAAGAATCACTCATCCGTTACATGTCATAGTGTCTCTTTGATTTAATCATGTTTTATCACTGAATTTAAAGAAAAAACTACAAAGTGAAGGTTTGTAATGGTGTTTTAGTGTAAACAACATTTGCAAATTTACGATTTTAAAACCTTGTTGAGTCGTACAGCTTGCTAAAGAGATTGCGAAATGCCTCTGGCAATTTTAACCAGTTTTAGTTGGAAAAACGCAATGTGATAAAAAAGTGAATATTTGTATGTTCTTCATGCTTGATTCACTGTTTTTTTGTTTTTCGTTTATCAAAGGGATGAAAATAGAAATGTGTGACTGTTTACAAAATGAAGGTGCAGATATGTTCACTCTTATTTGTATCGATATATCTGTCTAATTATATTTCACGAATGCTCAGGTTTGGCGTTTCCTAAAGTCGAAAAATGTCAGCCGAAACGTAACTTCGCAAAATTCTAGCTGAAATTTCACAAAAATGCCTGTACACAGATTCCATTATATCGCTTTCCATATATTGTAAATTTTAATGTACTGTAAAGTTATCTTTTATGTTGTTACCCTCTTTTAGAAAACTGAACCGATGACGACATCATGCCCAGGGTCCTTTGCGTAGTAACTGTTGTCTTACGATTTTGAAGACCTTATGCTTGTAAATTTTTTTTTTTTGACTCTTTACAGTAGTGGAAAGCAAAATGGCTTTTCGGCAAGAAGAAAGTGGGTATTTTTTCTGTTTTGTTTCGTGTGCCATGTTTGAATGGTCAAGATCGCATCCCAGAATTCTCAGCGGATCTGTTCTGTTCATCGTGGTGTACGTTGAGCCTTAAAACTGTACGATAGAGATTTCAGCAGGTTGTGTCTAACTGTCCCATTTCCTATGATCTCAGTATTTAAGATTCGATTTCTGTTCCTGTCTTCTCCCTGCACTGGCTGCTGATTCTGATTGGTTAATAAGTGGGCTGCCATTCAAACGAACCAGCAGTCAACTTCCTGTTCTCTGTTCGGTGCTCTTAAAACAGCTTTAAGAGCGTTTTGAAGGGGTTTGGATGTGGATAATAAGAAGAAACTCACTCTAGATGTGGCGTAGACTCCTGTTGTGCTGTTGTAACCTCCTTTCACCAGATACCAAAGGTTTGTGCCTCAGTGTTTGCCCACTGTTGGAACTGTACGAAACTTTTAGGTTTCTTGTCTTTTTTTTAAATTTTATTTTATTTGGAATGCCACAGTTCTTTATTATAGAATTAGATCTGAGTCTGTATGGATGATGTTTTGGATTGTCTAATAAACATCCAAGAAAATTGGTTATCAAAATGTGTTGTCTTATCTTATTACTGTTTTAATGGTGGTGAAGTTTAAATTAATACCTTTTTTTTATTGTAAATTGATGTTCGTCTATTAAAGATATTTTTTAAAAATGTAATTCAAACTAAATTGCTTATCAAATTGTGTCTTAATTTTTCAAAATATATTAATAGTTATAAAGTTAAATACGCATTCTTAATGTCAATTAGTGATGATCTGATTAGGCCAATATTCTAGGCTAATATTACAGCTTATTTTAAGTGTAGTAATTCAAACTAAATTGAAAGTAAACCTGGTTTCAAAACTACTGAAGTTTATAAATGTTTTGATGTCTGATTTTCTTGAGAAAAAACTAGTTGAGTAAAAGAAAATATCACCTTGCTCACTCAAAAAACTGCAGGTTTTGTTCCTCTACGCAAGCCATATGCTTACACAGCTCCATATGAACAACGTTTTGAAGATCAGCATATCTGCTGGAAGATTGCAGTCCCAGTAAAACAGCAGGTTAAATCATGATGTCATATCCTGCCAGCTTTCCTCGTCCCAAACCACAGACGGGGCTCAAAACTGACATGTTTAAACTGCATTATAAGCATACAAGCTTTTGCTGAGGGAAGTGATCAGTAGGCAACTTCAATTGCTTTTTTTGCATACTGCACATTTTGGCAACTGCATAGGGTCATTTTTTTATACATAGAGAGTACATGCATACTACATGAATAATAGTATGGTAGTTTTCCATTGTGAAAAATCCATTGTGTTAAATTCAGCATCAGCCCTCAGTAGAATAAGTGCGTTTACTCTCCTTACCACCAGATGGTGCTCTTGAGTTGTGTATCTAGCATCCAGCAGTTCAGTTATATTATATGTGGTCTGATCAAACCAACACAGACATCAAAAAACCTTGTTCCCCGTGAGAGGCCGATCTGGTTTATGAAGAATGTCAGTGTTTTTTATGTAGTTGTTTGGTAATAAACCAGGTGTTTTGAGACACTATCTTCTGTTAGCATCTGCTTCTAACCTCAAAATGTAATTTTCCTCATCTTACACACTTATAAATCACTCCTCCTGTAGGGCAAGTGCTGCCTGTCTGCTTATTAGCTAACCTGAGAAAAGTTTTGCACATTTGGGGATTTAAAGAGGTCAGTAGTACTTGGAGAATGATGTTGGCCACTAGGATTTGATTGGATTGTGAAAAGTAGCTAACAAATCTTCCTCACCAACACAGCCTTGATTATATTTGAATCAAAGAAAGTTGGTTTATTTAGTTACGAAAAACATTCAGACTCTTTTGTTTTCATACCATTGGTGAATTGCGCACAGTAAAACTAGTAAAGTTTATTATAAAAACTACTATTTTGAATTAATTTTTTGTGCATTTTAAATTAGCAGGATAATTGTTTAATAGGTAGTCAAAGTTTGTATATTTTGTTATGAAAACATTCCGACTTTTTCGTTTTCTTTACAATAACATTCACTGATCAGTTGCGCACAATAAGACTAGGAACATTTATTACTTAAAACTATTATTATTAAATCAAGGGCTTGTGGCCTTTAAAGGACGTTCTTGCCAAACCATAACTATAACAATAGCTATATTAGCATCCACACCAATTGACGATAATGCTCTGTTTTTAATGCTACAGTTTTATTGTCTGCTTTTAGTGCCCAAAATTGTTAAAGTCGGTGGATTCCACTTGTTTTTATCGTTTATTAGCTGGGAAAAGTCGTTCTAACACATGCACACAACACCTAATGTTGACAGAGGCACGAACTTATACCGACATACACGGAATTTTTATTTTCCCATGAAAACAAACGAAAAGATCAACGAATCGCTTTGCGCTTAAACATTTGACCAATCAAATTCTCTCTTGCAAGAGAAACGTCCCTCCCACTAATACCACCTGCTACCGATTAACAAGTAGTTTAGTTGTTTCTCACACAAAGTTTATGGTTGTTCTGTAAAAAGTGCTTTAAGATTATCCTTCCAACTTCCTGTTTGTAATCACCTCAAATGTCCAAAAAAGTAAACTGCACTGCAAGTCATTTCATGGGCTCTTTAAGAAAGTAAGAAATGCTCATTCGAATTTCACGTCATGTCAGTTTTAGCTTCTCCTGGCTTTCGTTTCCATGCTTCCCTTCCTTTTCCTTGTCTCATTTCCTTCCTTCCTTCTTCCCCTCACCTTTCCTTCCTTCCTTGTGGATGAATGGAGATGGGGACATTTAATTCAGTAGCCTACAATATTGAGCTGTCAAGGTGCCTTAAATGAAACAGGAATGATGTGTTTATATTTCTGTAAAGTCGGTGTGTGTGTGGTAACTTAGGACTACTTACTCGGCTCTGATTATGTTCATACCCTGATAGATTTTGACTGACAGCTCAATTGAAAACGGTTTCTTATGTTCTTCTTAATGAAAGGCAGAGTGGAAATTTTAACGTCTTTCCCTTCTTCTGTCAGACCGAGACCGTGTTTTCGCGGTTCCTGACCTTAAGTACTCTTAAATTGCGTTACACGGCAATTTAAAACCATTTATGTCAATTCTGAAGTCTAAAAACTAGTTTTGATATGTAACAAGACAGTTTAGTGACAGTACGGCGGAACTGCAGACTGTAAAAATAAAAAAATTATTACTCCGTCTTCGGAAATAAAACGTAAATAGGTCACGTTCCGCTCCGCCGGAGAATTATGATAAATTTGGTACGTTGCGTCACGTGACAGAACGGCGTGTAGAGGAACGCGTTGTTGTTCATCATTTTAGCAGTTTCTCTCAAAATAAGAGTCTATATTGAGTTTAGACGGAGTTGGATCCACGGCCGTCATTTTTCTCATATGTCTTGGACGGCTTCGCGCGGCTCTGCTCTTGAGATTTGAACTTTTCAATCGGAGTTTTGTTTAGGAATGAGGTTTGAGATAATCTTCTCACAATCTTGGTGGTTTTCTTGCCCCGGCGATGCGGAAAAAGGCGAGTTGGAGGGAGGAAATCAGATTTGTGTGAAAACGCAGCCTCTCTGTGGACGCTGATTTAATCAAAGCTTTGCTCTGGGACCTGCTGAGCTCATATTTAACCAGTATATTAGAGCCAATATGCTGATCCGAGCTCAGTTTTCGCTGTTTGTCCCTGCTGAATCAACAATCGGAGACGGGTTGAAAACTATTCCGGATCTGCAGTCCCACTCAATAATTTTTTGTCGGTAGGCTACTCTGATAGGAATTGCCATGGTAACAATAGTTTCTGCCAAAATATCACAATTACAAAGCTACTGACACTGTTGCCTCACCCACAATTCCCATTACTGCAATGCAGTATAAGACAAAAGTTCAACAAATACAATAATCAATTATATATAAAAAATTATTATGCTTTAAAATGCTATAGTATTTAAAGGGGTCATATGATGTTGCTAAAAATAACATTATTTAGTGTAATGTGTTTATGCGGTTTAAGGTTAAAAAACACATTATTTTCCACGTACTGTACATTATTGTTT